TACTTGTAGTAAGTTTATCTTCTGTAAACAATACCTAAAATAAATTCATTTACGTAAGTTTCATACGTGGCTTCATGTGCTGAAGTAAAATAATTGAAATATGTTCAACAAATGTCAGGGAGCGCATACGGATCACAGTCCTTCAGTTATGATATATTTATAAAGAAAAACTCGATTTATTTTGCTATCAACCAAGATTGATTTTTTAACGTATTCCTAATCTTGAAAATTTTTGGCATCTATTATTTAATAGGATTCACATTTAAAAACAAATTGCTTAAAACATTACAGACTTGCCAAATCACGATATTAAAAAGGTAGTTATTTTCAAGTCTTGCACCTCAATATTATGTGTAGCCTCGTATACATTTGAAATTTTTCATTTGCTAGAGACACGTAAATTAAAAAAAAATTTTTTTTTTAAATTATACAAAAATTTGTCAAATTTTAGGTTCTCATGAAAATTTTCTGACTATCAGTTTTATTTTCAACATGAACTTTAGTCAGGGACTTACAAATATTTCATTCCCCACAGGTATGGTGAGAACTATTATTAAAATTAAATAGAGATATGCTGTTATCTTCTAAATTTAATCGAAATAAAGTGTGCTAGAAAATTAAAGTCTTGGAAAGCTTAAAAAAATCAAGCAGCAAGTGAGGGCTTAACTATTTTTTTTACTTTTCATCAAACAAATGGAATACCATTTATATTACTCTAAAATTAATCGCAGCATAGTTTGTTATAATCACTATTGTACTTAATTCATTGTGGACTTTTTTTTTAAAAAAAAGGTATTATAAAAAATATCAAAATATTATCGTTTAAAAACAGTTAGCTTTGACTGCATAAATTGACCCATGTTTAGATAGATATCAAAGGTGAAATATAATTATTTTTCAATACGTTGTCTAACCTAATATGATCAAGACTGAATAATTTATTGCATGATTTAATAGTGGTACATCATCCGAAACATCAGCATCCCTAAACCCTGATAGTTAATGCGCTAGTTCGATATTAAGCTATCACGCAAAAAGTTTCCCTGCTTCTGAGTGTAGTGGAAAATCGGTAGTTAGCTAACGGTTCAGTGGTAAATTAGCGGCAAATTATACCTTAAGTACTGTGGCGCCGTGCTGACTTGGTTGGGCTAGCTTGATATAGGTGTTAAAGTACCAGCTTTACGGGTCTTTCCGTTATTTACGGGCACTATTAAGATTTGATAGTTAAAAGAGAGAGGGATTTCTTTGTTTGGTTGCTGTGCGCTTTCGGTTGAAAGCTTGAAAGGGGCTAGACGCAAGAGAGGGTCTTGTACACCTATAAAGTGGGCGGAATTGATGCACCTAGCAGCGTACGTCCCCCTGCCTGTTATCTTCATTCCGATTACAAATATATCAGTGCCAGCTTTTATACTCAGATCGGTGCTTTTCTTCTTGTTGCTATTAAAGCTGCAAATAGTCAATACACTTTGTAAAGCAGCTTCTTCATTCCTAGTCTCGCTTGGGAATTACCGTAAAAAATAAGTCATTCAGTTTTCAGCAGCAGCTAGTCTAAGAAAGTCCTCTCTTCACTGGGTGAAGTTGCCTCTTTTGTTTTTCTTTGTTAATTTAATCGGTTCTAAGAGAGATTCATAGTTGTGGTCAATTTTATGTGTTATATTACTCTGCGACCTGACAACTTAAATGTCGTCTCGTTGCAGCCACTTTAATAAGCCCGATAAATGTTTAAAATAATTAATTCGTTACTTCGAGTTATTTCCTTTAATAATCAAATGTAAAATTTTGCACTTTGGTAAATACATTGATTTCTTGAAACCGTTTGATGTTGTTAATAATTTCTTCCATCGCATTAAAACTCAATTAAGCCATTCAGGTAAATCCAAACTCATTCGACGAATATCTTACAAAAAAAGCCGGCAATTTTGTTTTGCACTTTTAGAGTTTCTTCGAGTCACAGGAAAACAGCAGCACATGTTTACAGCCACTAATTTATAAATATCAGATTATATTTGTAGATATGTGTGTATGTTTTGGAAGTATGAATAAATTATCAGAACTATTACTTTATATTTTAGGCATGCGTTTTTTAGTACGTATTTATGCTTATTATATTCACTTACCAAAAATATATATACCTTTAACTATGGTATGCATTTATATGCTACTTACGTATTTTCTTTCTATATGTATGTGAGTATATATCTTTTTGTATATCATAAATATAATCCCGATCAGAAATCCCGTAAAGCTTTTTCTGTCGTATGTACATCATGCACACGTAATCATTATTGTTGCTATAAAAATAGTACAATGAGCAGTCAGAAGTCAGAGATAATTGAGATTTTGGTAGAATGAATTATCGACTACAGTATTTTGTACTTGGTTTTATGAATTTTCGAATAAATAAACAATTAAATGTATTATTTCAACAAAATACACAATGATGCCTCTGTGTTGATTTTATCTGTCATTTTTTTTTACAAAATTCACTCACTAGTTTTTATACAGCTCTGACAAATTTAAAAATACACTTTGCTTGTACATTTATGTGTTATATATCTAAATACATTATATCCCAAAAGGTTAAACTAGGCTATTAAAGATATCTAACGAGGGCCTTCATAATACCCCGTTATTTCGCCTCTGTAGGTCCTCAGTAGGCATGCTTCATGAGATCCTTCTGTTCAGTGTAGGTGTACTCAATAAATTTCTGATTGATCGGAATGTTGGCTTAAGTTGCGTTGGCTTGGCTTAAGGCAGTGGTAAGTAAATTAATGGTTTTAGAATTCTGACATTGTGAAAATTCTTGATAGAAGTGAATTTTACTTAGTACTCTGTCTTCACCCTGCCTCCTTCAACGTACCACCCCGTGCTGGTCCTCGCCATACAACACCACACTTTACAATGCCAAGCCATGCCACCAACAGTAGAGCACACATTTTGAATTTTATACAATTTCATTTTTCTCTCTAAAAAAAAAAAAAAAAAAATTCCGAGACTTGAACCGCTATCTCCTACACTTAAACAGAGGCCCTTACCCATTTTTCTATAAGCGGTCCCGATACTAGAAACTCGATTTCTTCTTGTTGTGGTATCGTTCGTCACTTGTTTTTAATGTAACTATTCATTTATTACATATTTATTCATTTGGTTTAATTTAACAATAAATTATGCATTCAATCAAATAATTTTTTGAGTTAAATATTTTTTAAAAACTTAAAAATTAGTATATTTGAACAGAGTAGCTAAGCTTTTCTATGTATTACTAAATATTTATTTATTTACCATAAATTTGTTACTTTTACAACTTTTTTTAAAAACTTTCAAACATTTTTTTGATTATTTCAATTAATTTTTGTTGCGTTTTATTTTTTCACGATTTTTTTAAATTTGTGATTAAAATGATTTTTTGACTTTAGGACGTCCACCACAGTTAGTAGGGGATAAGCTCAGAGAAGTGAGAGCAGCGCAAATATATGTAGCACCGTTGGCAATTGTTTTTCTTGTAGTTTCATACATGCTTTTAATCGTACTCCACCACTTCTTTCTTATGTTAATAAAAAAAAAGTAGATGGCCTGTATAAATATTTGGGAATTAAATAGGCTTATCTAAAAGTAATTTTTCGTACAATAAAAATTGAGAGATTTCTACAGAAGATATAAATGCAGTTTTGAATGATTTTTTTATGAGGTTATATGTTAAGTTGTTATTCTTGAAATTGAACATATAAAACAGGGTACAGTTAGAAATCTGCAATTTTTTAGGGTATTTTTACACTATTTCGAATATACGTTAAATGTTTAAATTTTATCTGTCAAAAAATCTATGTGTAATGAATGTTCTGAAGAGACGTTCACTGGCATGCAGTAATACCCAATTGAAGCGGTACGACGTAATGCTTTTCTTAACCTTTTAGATACAAAGTATTTTAGGTATTTAATGTAGACTAGGAATAAGTGTGTGAGCGTATGTGATGGATGTGAGCATGATGTTGGAGATATAATCAACGTAGATGGTACGAAGTTCTTTTGAAATCATCGGAAGATTCGGTGAAAGCGTACAGTCTTGTTCTAGCTAGTCTAAATATAGTTTATATTGTATTGCGCCGTAATATATTATTATAATTGCTTACTTATTAACTATTAAAACATTTATTAAATTCCTTATAAAATTTTATAGAAGTGTAATTTCATGCTTGGGTAACGTAGCACCCATTTTCCATTGGTTTTTTTAAATAGATAGTTTGATATAGATGATCTTTCAGCTACTTTTGCGCATGCACATAAGCTTGCTTAAGAACAACAGCATAGTATTTTTAGTTTAAACTTGTTTGTTGCCGTGTTGTTTTATTAGCATTTTTATGGGTTATTTGGTGTGTTTTGAATTATCTTATTTCACTGTACTTTTACTAATTTACCCACACAATGTTGCTTTCAAAAATTAAATAATTTATTTTGCAAAATAAGGATATTCTCTCACTTAAACACTTTAACGAAATGGTAACAGAAATCCTGTCCTACACCTTTACTCTTTAGTCAGCTTTAAATCGAGTGGCTGGATACTAAAACCGTAAAACCATGGTATAAATTGGCAAATGTAGAAAATGGTTAGTGACTAATCTCAGCTCAGAGGGCGTCAGAAAGGAGGGATCTCAATGAGAGTTCTCTGCAGAAATAATGTACATGTTCTGCTACTGACGATATATTCAGTATATGTATACAAATGTTTTTTTCCACACTTAAATCTCAATCAGTAGTGTTTCCTCTTTCAACCGTCTTTTTAGCTAAGCTTTCTCTCTTCTCTCTTTCTCTTTTCATACATATCAAATTATTTGAATTAAATTATTCAGTTTACATAGTTTGACTTGTACCTAGTTCGTCAATGCTTCATAGCCTGTGCCATAATTTTTTTTTTCAGTTCATTGCATTATTATTCGTCATTTAAAATTATTGTACGCCATTACAATTGGTCATATTGTAACGATTTTGATTATTCTTTTCAGTGTTCTGCTAAAACATTACAGAATATTTCGGAAATGTTCTATTATGCACAGAAAGCAGTTTTGCATCCAACAACTCCATTATACAACTATGATTTGCAAGAGGTAAACTGCTAGTTTAGAAATCATACTATATTAAAATGCATTTTACCAAAATTTTGTTTTAGCTCACTAATGAATGTAAACTGGCTCTTCAAAGAATATTTAAGGTAAGCCATCCAAGATAATGTTAATTCGTACAAAATGTCTTAGAATATCTATTTTAAATTTATACCGTTCTTAAGATTTGTGATATTGATAATGATGGCCTATTGAGTGATATTGAGTTGAATGCATTTCAACAATGGTGCTTCAATACTCCTTTGCAACCTCAAGTACTTGAAGATGTAAAAGCTGTTCTTTCTAAAAATATTGAAGATGGAATTCATAATGGCTTCGTTACGATCAAAGGTTTTATGTTTTTGCAATGTCTTTTCATTCAAAGAGGGAGGAACGAGACGACTTGGGCGGTTTTAAGAAAATTTGGATACGATAACGATCTACAAATGTCCAAAGACTACATTAATCCATTGTAAATATATTAAAATTTTTTTTATGTATTTAAAAAAATCTATTTATACATTAGAATAAAATTAGTTACATGTCAGCGGCCAGAAGTAAAAATTCCGATCAATTATCCAGACGGGAATGATACTTTTTTGAAAAAAATCTAACGTTATTCATAGCACACCAGAAATAGAAGTAATGAACAATGAAATTACATGTTAACTCAATATATACATGCCAATCAGACTAGATTTGCCTTTCTATAATTACATGGTTTATAGCTCAGGAGCAAAAGGGTAAAAAACTGGGATTTGCAAACTTTGCATTGGAAGTGGTAAAAATGGGCTTGAACAAAAAATCTTGTCACATATAGCAAGTCTTTACGAAAAAATATACGAGTTGAGCTCTGCCGATAGGATTGCCAAATAACTCAAAAAGATGGCTACTTCTTCCTTGATTTAGGAATAAATCGTAAAAGGACGCTTTCTTCTTCTGATACGTTAGTGCTGTCGAACATATTTATGGGTATGTCTTTATATGTGTGCAGTTTTTGTCCTCGAAAATCTTGTATAATGAGGAGAAAGTTATGCTGATTTTTCTGCATGAGCATATCTATGATCGGCAATCTTTGGAATGATTACGAAAGATCATATTCAAGTGCTTCTCTGGCAAAGTTATTACTGTTGTCATGATTAGAAGTGAACCGCTCTTTACAGATTTTCAGCCATACTGTACTGGCAGCTTTGTTGTATCAAACTTCCATAGTCTGAACTGATAATAAGGGTAAAGGCAATGTTGCACTATGACAGCCTGTCTAAGAGATAATCCGTCTACATTTCTAACGTTTTTTATCGAGTCTTCAAACTTAAGTCGTTTGTGGCACTATACGCTGCGCAAATAACTTCAAACCCAAACTGATCACTAATGATGCAGACGTTTCAGCCATCAAGTCACTGTAGCACTTTCATTGTGTTTGGAGATTGCAGTTTTTAAACAACGTTTTAAGGAACTTAGCTTATCCTACTTTAAAAAAGATTACCAAACTACTATCACAGTCAAAAGAATAGTTCACAAAAGCCAAAAATTTTTTTCAAATAAGATGTTAAAAACTATGGCTTAAATGTAGTACATTTTTTATCCTTCTTACTTTGTGAAAATAAAGTGTTTTATGTTGTACTGAATTCACTAACAATACGAACTAATCCGTATCTTTGCCCACTTCAACAACATTGAAATAAAGGGCACTGTATTCCACTATCATATGTATTGTTATGTTAAATTTGAGTTGTATGAAGGGTCTTGTGCTATAAGTATATCAATTTTTTTTATTCTTCTCATCGCTCAACAATTTAGATTGCTTTATAGATGGTAGACTTAGCTTGACCTCATTACCTTATGAAAAAATAACCACCTTCGGTAACGTACATGGTGTAACTTTGAAAATTATGTTCATCACTATTGTTTAGAAAAATAAAGTAGTTATAATTTTGAATTCCTTTGCTTTGCGTACATATTTCTGTCAAAGAAAATAAGAGAAACGGTGGCAAGTTCTCAGAAATATTAGTCAGTTTTTCCGCTAAAACTTAACATCTGTATGTTGTATTCCACAGCTTTACAAAGCGATTTTGGTCCGACATCTGCAACTCTGTGGCAGTTGACACTTGCATCTCCAATTGGACCCGAGGCAATATTAATTATATCGGTACCTTACGGAAACGTATTGTATTCTTCGGTGCCTTGGAAAGAAGGACGGTGTGCCTCCAACCATGTAAAAAATTTATAATGGGCCGCAATAATAAACAGCCAAAACATAACTCACAACTTCTCGTCGGGCAGTGCCTTTCATAGTTTCTTGTCGAAGGCATTCTTGTCTAGTGTGTCTTGAGATCGGTAACACTTAGCAAAAAGCCAGTATACATTACTGGGAGAAACTTTTGTTGTATACGAGATCCTTCTTAAATTTTCGAAGTCATACATTACTATTTCTGCCTTCTCTTGCTTCTCAATTGCTTGAGCAGTATTATGTCGATTGCCCAACATCCTAACTGATAGAAGATAGTTGAAAAACTAAGAACTCTTTACATGACGCATAAAAGTCCAGGACAAAATTATGGCCTACTACGTTGTTGTTCAAAAATTTGTTCTTTGTTTCAACAATTTTTACGTTTAAAAGCATTAGTAGTATTTTGGGTACATCTTAGCGTTATTTACAAATCGATAGGGCACAGGGTAGTAGCTAGTGCTTTATACCGGCGTTTAGATATCTTCATTTATTATACCAATTATTTTAAAAAATTGACTTAAAATTCTTTGAAATGTATTTTTCTATGTACCATCTAAATGGTATCATCAACGGGGTAGTTTTGAAAACCAAAAATTAATTTTTAATTTCTTTTTTTGAGTACGAATACTTCATATGAAATTCCAGCTGAGATCTCAGGTGAGTTTTTGGCGTATAGTAGTCACCTGAGATCTTAGGTGGGATCTCACCTGGTTGACGTAGACAGGGATTCACTCAATACGTTGTTAAGAGAAAACTGACATTTCTCTCTGTTGTTATGCATGTATTAAATAACAAGTTTATCAGTAGAACCAGATGTTAAAGTTATATTCTTCTTAGGTATGTAGGCATGAGAGAATGTTTTATAACAACGACTGTGATATCTGAAAGAGTATGCAGTTGCATCAACAGTTTCTAAAACGCTTTGTAGGTGTTAATAGTCTGTTCTTAAGGAAACTTAAAATTTTAGCAATGCAATCTTTTTTTTTTTTTCTTAGTACGATAGCACTACTTCTTGTATGAAACAGCTTCTTCTTTTCTGCTTCGATATGCGTACAAAACTGTCCGAAGCGTCTTGATAACAGAACAAACAGGTTTGAATCATATCAAAGATTCATGGATTGATGGCCTCAGTTGGTCAATTTTGCTGGCAGCAGCGGAATTATCTGGACTTTTATGCAAATAAAAGTAGGATATGAGCACTTAAGTAACAAGCTTATTTTGGTGACCTTCAAAAACATGGTTTAAATTGTGATTTGCTGTCGTGAGAGTTTTCTGACGCTTCTTTGTTAGGATCATTTTATCAGTCGAAATAACATATTAAGGGCCTACAGTAGACTCAACTGGTAACTTTTTTATCGTTATGTACGTGTCACTGTGAATGTCAGTAAATTGACAGTATCATCGAAACTGCAAAAAGTATTTTGTTAGCGATAGTAACGTGGTACGTATTGAAGAGTTATTATATGTAAATCTTGTCAAAAAAGTTTCTGTACTAGTGCGTGTTGCATATTCACGTGAATGCACACGTAAAGGTGTAACTTTTATACTTCCCGTCAAACAGTATTAACTATCGAAATAAGATGTATTCATGGATACAATAATTGTAATAAAGCCATATAGGTAAAAAAATGAAAACAACATAGCTGTAAGTACATCTTCTTATTTTATCAAATAATTTAAGACAGCGGTAATGATAAAAAAGTAGCTATCACAGTTTTTCTATTCATACTGACATGACAAAATATCTGATTATCATTATTAGAGTCTATTATAATATGCTTGCACCGATAACAATTTATATGTTTAAAATTACTTATGTGCAAACACGTAAACATGTTAAATACATTGAAATTTTACGTGTCATGAGAAGCAATGGTTTGGAAATAAAATATGATATAGCTTTGCCAAGGGTCTTGAGTCTTAGGTCCCTCAACGATTCAACAGTTTTATTTCAACAGTGACAGCAGCCAGCGCGTTGCTGAACAGCGTTGGTGGACATAAATCAATAATTACTTTTTACTAATAAAAGTTACGTCGGACAAAACAAGCATATCTCCATGAACTTGAGCCTGGCCAACCGTTTTGTGGTCCACTGAACCAAGGAAATTTGATGAACATTACCAATACCTATAAAATATTAACATATCTCGCAATGAAACTGATTTTATAAATCAATTTTTAATACTTTTTAATTTTTGCATTTTTCAAGTTGAGTGCTTGTTTTTCAATGCAAAAACCAAATTTTTTTAAATTTTTTATTGCCCTATAACTCTAAATAAAATAATATGCTTAAGACAACTTTTCCATCTATCTTTTTTCGATAAAACTTTTTGTTTTTGATCAAAATAATTTTAATAATTCTTATTTTTATGTTATTTGGCACTATAGGAGAGCTCAAATCGTACGTTCTTTATTTTTTAACGGCTTACTATGGGCATCGAGATCTCACGTTGAAAGTGGCTCATGTGTTAGTGCCATATTAAATGGAGAGCCTTGGTGCCCTCTGATGTTAAACAATACATAGAAAGTTGATAATTAATTCGAATAGTAAAAAAAATATTGTTTGTTGTGTAAACAGTTCAAACATTTTAAAAAGTATAGGAAAATTTTTTTTCAAACGCTGCAAGGAACTCAAAATTATGTATGCGTCCTTGACGCAGTAAGTATAAGTAATTAAAACCTACAAGAAATTTATAAAACTTTGTAAAATGTATTATTTCGCACCTGTAATAATTAATCAATGATGACTCTATTTAGAAAAAAAAAATTTTCAAGAAAATAATTGTTTTTGAATCAAATCTAATATCATATTTCTTTAGAAAAATTCGAGTTACACCGTTTCTACTAATCTAGAAAGATAACGTCTCAGAAGATAAAGAAGAAAATTTCACTTTTATAATTTAGTTTTCTTAAAATTTCGAGGATAGACGTCTAATTTTTATCTTAGGAGTCCATTCCTTTTGCAAAAGATCATAGAATAAAACTTAGCATTTTTAACTATAATTGTTTTTAAATAAATAATAAGGTCTTACAGAAGATTTACATAAAAGCCAATGTGTATGTGAGAATTTTCCAATAAACTTTTTTTTCTGAAATAAAATAGTTGAGCTACCTGTTTTAAAAAAGAAACATAAACATTACTACTTCAACGACAAGTTATAATTATTTGCATGTTGATATAATTTTTTTTTATCGATTTGTATAAGACACTTTAAGGAGGATAGAGTGGAATATAATAAGTAATAAAAAAAGAAATGTTCATCAAAAATGCAAAAGTTTTCTTTTTTTTTCATTAAATTCTTTTTTTTTTTAATTTAAAAATATTCAGGTTGCTAGAAAAATAACATAAAAAAATTATGGAAAAAAATGATAGTTACATAGTGTCTGAAGGAAGTAGTCACTAACATGCATTTTATTTTCTAATAATTTTTTAGTAAAAAGTAAGGTTGTAAAAGAAGGAAACAGTTTTATAGATTTTTTTACAAAGATTAATATGATGTTCAGAAATATGTGGATTAACAGCAAAACACATGAGTAAACAATCGTCGAAGAATGAGAAATCGAGCTTTCTAACTTTGAACGGAGCAAGTAATATTAAAAAAGTTGGCAAGTCTACAATATTTTTAGCTGTATGTACTTAATTCTGCTTTTTTCACAGTTCTAAGTAATAATTTTATTGCTTGCGTACATATTTTACGTACAATTTTTAAAATGTAATTTCCCCTGTACGGTACCACGTGCTCTATTCTCCTTAACCCAGTTTTATTTCTTTCAATCTAAAATTTGATCTGAACCTTCTGGCCCCGGGCTAGTAGTTGATATATCAATTTAAAGCTCTAAATAATTGACCATAGTTGATTTTAATAACTTGGATTATGCAAGTCCAACTGCCTAATGTGTTAATAGTTTCAACTGTTTCTTTTTATTATCTTTTTCTACTTACCTCATGTCTTTCATTTTAGTATAAAAGTTCCTGCTGGTTGTACAACAGAATTATCTCATAAAGGTCAAGAATTTTTAACACAGTTATTTAATTTTCACGATCGGGATAAAGATGGTACCTTATCACCATCAGAAATGAAATCATTCTTTTCAAAATGTCCTTTATCTCCGTGGGGAAATGAGTATAAATATACAGTCAGTACTAATGAAATGGTAAGCTATTTTAAAACTTTAAAAATACTAAACTACGCAGTTAGGTAAAATTTTTTAATTTTTCTGTTAGGGCTGGATTACGTATCAAGGATATATGTGTCAATGGACTCTCTTGACTTACATGAATGTAAAAAAAACTTTAGAATGTATGGCTTACTTAGGATACAATGTTTATTATAATGAAAGTCCAGTTACTGCAGTTATTACAACAAGAGATAAAAATATCGACTTAGTAAAAAAACAATCCAGTCGCAATGTGTACTGCTGCCACGTGATAGGTCCAAGAAGTTGTGGCAAAACAACATTTTGTAAAACATTTATTGATCCTAAACTTGAGGTATTGTAGTCTTAAACCGAAGCCAAAGAATCAAGAAAAAACTTTGAATAATCTGATTTTATTTTTAAGAAATTGAATGACAATGCCATAACAAGTGATTTCCACATTTCTGTAAATGCCGTCTACGTCTATGGACAAGAAAAAATCATTATCTTGAGGGACATTAACATAATCAATGTTCAAGATGCCTTAACACCCGCTCAAGTTCAATGTGATGTGGCTGCTCTTGTTTACGACATAAGTAATCCAAAATCATTTGAATACATTGCTAGAATTTATATTGTAAGTACTATAAAAGTTGCTCCTTAGAATCTTTTTTCTATAAGCTTGATTATAAACCACGTTTTTGCTGTTCCTATTTAGTCCCTTACGTTAATCCCAGCTATCTCATCTATTCAAACGATAAACTAAAAAAATCTATCGAATATCTTAAATCTACTATTCTGAAAATAGGAAAATCTCGAAATTACTATTTAAGAATAGTAGTTCTGAGAATTTCTTCTTTTGAAAAGAGTAAAAAGCCGAAATCCCTATTTTCAAACGAGGAAACTTGAATTTCCTATTTTGAAAAGAGTGAAAACGTAGAATTACTCTTATAAAAAGAGGAAAAAGCTGAAATGCCTCTTTTCAAAAGTGGGAGCCTGAATTTCCTCTTCTTAAAAGAGTAAAAATGCGAACCTTCCATTTTCAAAAGACGAATAGCCAAAATCCTTACGTTTAAACAGGTGACATGGAAATATGCATACAGCAATGAAATACCTAATTTTTTTTTTAATAGAAGTAAATCATACATGTATCAAAGTTTTTGCAGAGTAACGAACTAAATAAACCATTTATTGTATATACGATAAAAGTCTTACATGTATGCAGATCGGAACTCAGCTGAAGCGCCAATCAGTAATGTAAATTTACATAAAGTGGCTAATTCCATAAGCTGCGAGGGTAGGTTCTCTGACGTCAGTTACTTTTTTTAGGTAAACCAAGTTGCAATGTAAAAATGTTTTTCGCAAATAGTAAACACAATCATCATTGTTTAAATTGTTAGAATTAAAATTTTATGTATGAAAACACGGTGGAGAATCGCACAGTAAGTAAAGATTTTAGAGTTATAACACAAAACTTTTTGTATTATATTTAATTAATTCTACGAAGATTCTAAATTAACACATAATTATTACTAAGCTATCGCAGCTTCCTGCATTGCTTATAGTATTTACTACCAATAAGTCAAATTACCAACAAAAGATACTACAAGTACTGTAAACTGTTAGCATGTCAATTACTCTAGCCGTCCAAATTACAGATCGAAATCTTGTGTCTGAGTCCTTGGACACTTGCAATTTATATTATAAAAAGAAGTGTGATTATCATTTTTTTTAGACCACAAAATGTCTATCAAGAAAAATTATTTCTAAATTTTGATCCATTACCTTACATCTCTCTTGCCTGTACATATTAAATTTCGGCTTATTCATATTTCAAGAAGAGTAGTTTTACGTTTTTACGATTTTCAATGAAGGAAATCCAAGTTTTCATTTTTGAAAATAGGAATTTCGGCTTTTAACTCTTTTTAAAAGAGTAAATTCTGAAAACTACTATTCTCAAATACTAATTTCGCGATTTTCCTATGTTGAGAATAGAAGTGTTGAGATATTCCTATTCCTACCTTTAATTTTTACTATTTGGACTCAAGAGTGTATTAGTCCTATTTTTTTTAGATATTGTATGAAAATGAGTTCTAAGATTTACTTTGGCCTAGTTGCGTACCTGTAGATCGTAAATTTTTCTTTAGAGTTAGCGCACTTTATTCTCAACGTGAATAACTGATTTATTTTAATGCAATAAATACTGACACCAATGGCTGTTGCTGTTAAAAACTGTTATTTATTCCCCTGACGACGTTTCTCTCCTCTTTCGGAAGGAGCCTTCTCAAGTATTGATTATCATACATTGTATTGTTTATCATCTGACGTAGTGCCCTCGTTGGGTATAGACGTGTTTGATTTTTCAACCAGAAAGACGTATTTGACTTAAAAAGGCTCCTTCCCAAAGAGGAGAGAAACGTCGTTAGGGGAATAAATTACAGTTTTTAACAGCAACAGCCATTGGTGTCAGTATTTATTGCATTTCGTCCTACCCGCTGTTATTGGAGTCATTAACATCATTGATTTATTTTAAGTTTTTTATGGATTCACATGGCTGGAATTTCACATACTAACGTTTAGCTGTAAAATTTAGTTGTAAAATGTTCCAAATGATATTAACATAACAACTGTTTTTCTATCGACTAACCATAGTCGGCTATGGTGGTTTTTGACTGTTTTTTTTTTTTTTTTTTGTAGTACAAATTCTGTTTGACCGTTCTTCAAGTTTCTGTATTTTAACTTTCTACATATATCGAAAAGAAAAAAGAAGAAGGAGAAAATGAACAAGCAGCAATGCTTGAGATATATGGACATGATTTTATGATTCATACAACATCCGCAAATAAATATGTGATGAACGTACAAATACCACTAAATTTGAGTTTAATTTAAAATGCAACTGCTTTTACTACGGAACACTTACAACTTTTTAGATATGTTGAAAAGCAGTTATACATTAGTGAATTTAAACTGTTTATTATCCATTGTCAGAATCATAAATAAATTTATCTGTAATTATAGCGTTTAGAATGCTAATATCATAAGAGGGACGAGAACAGCCATTAGGTGCAAATTCTTTATTATTTTCTCCGTGCAAGTCAGCGATGTTATTAATCTTATCATCATAAAAGTCTTCTCTATCAAAATTTTTACTGATTATCAAAGCATTTACACAACTATTTCTGTTAAAATTTTTTTACATTCGTTAACACAAAAACTCTGGTTTTTTACCAGTGCATAATTTTAGTCCATATCCATTGATGGTACAAGCGGAAAATCTGTTTGTTTTTTTAAAAAAAAGGAAAAACTATGTAGTTAGATATTGATTGTAATGAATACACACTTAAGGGTCAACAGCAGTTTTGTAGGTAGTGTTTTTTTTTCTACCGTACGTATCGCAACTCCATGAGCAAGTTTGACAATTTTAATACTACTAGATATTAAGAGCACGAAATAAGAGAGAAGGAGAGGAAATTCCATGCACTAAAAAAAGAGCACCTTTCCTGACAGAGATCATACACATGGGTGATTCTGCCGTAAGAGGTCAAATTCGTGTCCCGCGCTCATGCTACTACGAGAAACTAAAATTGAATGTTTAAATTAGATGAAGTTGTGTTAAAAGGGCTAAACTTTCGCACCTAAAAAAACCTACTAGGAAAAAGTAAGCTTCTCTGCCATGTCCTTTCCTTCTCTCCATCATCAAGTATAGAAGTTGTGTGTTACATTTATGCCATATCAACATTTATTCTTAATCTCTAAGCAAGAGTTTTAACCAAATTAAAAATATCTCACGATTTGAACAAAAGTGTTGGTTACAGCGGAAACCGCTCGGAAAATCACTCTACTGTACTTCGTAACACCTTTTAGTGATCACTTTTTATATCTCACATTATGACAAGATAAATACATAAGCCAAAGCTGTAAAAAATTTAAATCTCTTTAATTGACAGACATTTTAATTTTCAATTTTCGCGTGTACAAAAATTTTGGTCACTTCTGTCCCTTCCCTGGCTCCAGCACTCTGTTACTCATACAGTAAAGAAAAAAAAAACTTTTCCTGCATTATTTACTAGGAATGGATAATTTGTAAGCGGAAAACTATTTGCGTTAAATCTAAGAGCCGCAATAGTACTCCCAAGCTCGAAATGTCACTTCCATACTCGTCACTTCCGTACCCCTCAGTGGTAATAGTATCTCTTTTTCTAGCTTTCGTACATCAGAATTTAACAAAACTTTTTTCCAGTAATGTTAAGATAAAACATGAGACACTTGTCTCGGCGTTTGGTCTAATTGGCCTTTTTTGCGAGATACATCGATTAATATCGATTCCACTTATGACACAAGTAGCGAAGGAGTACACTATTTTAGGTGATCCAAAATAGGCTCAAGTGACTGTTAAAATAAAGCTCTTTTGATAAAAATTGTTGAATTCGGTGGCAGCAATCAAAAGATTCAGGGATTTTTTTAAATTACGAATTTCCGGCCGAAATCTACGAAATCTCATTTTTAACGATTTTTGTCGCTCCTCTTTAAACAGTTACTACGTTTGAATCGAGGCACAAAATAAAACTAATTTTCTTTTCAATCAATAAGGTTTAATCCTAGCTTTGATTTCATTGGGCTTAGAACACTTTATCTATACAAACAGCTTAGCTACACGCATGAGAAGGAGAGGTACGTTTTTCGAAAATCAACTACAATTGTCTGATAAAAAATACCGCACAACTTTTGACCCAAAAACTTTGTAGTAGTATAACTTTAGATATTTGTTGTAGATGGTATTTGAAGTATAACTACGATGAAAAATAATTTTTTCATGCAACTTTTTTTTTAAGGATTCTTTAAGGCGTTTTTAACAACTTACGGGACATTCACATATAATAATATACATACTTACTAATATACAAAGAAAGTCGCTAAGACCGTTGTAATCGCTAACAGCGAAAACTACTCAACAGATCTAGCTAAAATTTTGCATACCGATACTTGACACTTCCTAGATGATTTTAGTAAAGTTTTTATCTTTAAAAAATTAACAACAATAGCAATAAATAAGCTCAAAGGTTTGTTAAAAAGGAAATAAGTGTGGTTATAAGAGGCCAGAGCGTCGCGAAAAATTTTGCCGTTACTTGCTCGCAGTACATCAGACTGCATCGAGAATGTAAAAGTTAGTCGTGCAGCTGGGAATGTTCCGGTTATCGATGACGCTTTTCTCCAATGGGCAAGTGACCTAGATCTACTTCCACCCTGAACCTTCAGGATTAATGAGTGACACCAATAAAAAATTTTGTAACTGATAACGTCTCCAATGGAATACCAGGAAACGTGTCTAGCCCGAGCACAACCTGCCCCAACTATTTACAGTAATGTGGCTATTCCATCATCCGGCCTGTTGCCGTCAGAGAATTTTTTACTACACATGCAAGTCAGGGAAGACAGCCCTGAGAAGCACGGGCAGCCACAACGGCTTCCTTCTCAGTGGTTATCCCAACGGCAAATCCATAGAGAAGGTATTCTCTAGGCCCACTTTTCCGACTAACGATGGGTGGTTGTTTATCCAGGGAACGGCCTGTAAACAAGATATTCTTTGGTCAGTGGCGTACCTCCCTCCATCACGGTCTCCATACATAGAGACTTCAAGGGTAAGAGTCGAGCTATCAGGAGTCTAATTTTGTGCTTCGATATACGCAATACGGTTCGAGATTCACCGCCACACCACCAACCTTATGACGAAAACGTAACAGAAAGTTATTTTTTTTCATGTTTAAAGGTATATTGTGATTGTAAATCTCGAAAGCTATTGCGTATATCAAAGCACGCAATTATACCCCTGCAGCCAGCTCTTCATCATCAAGAATAATAATGTCAGCTGGAAGTTTCACCACTGGATCTTTTCAGGGCCATTATAAGTATTTACGTTCCCTACTTAACCATCAATCTCATTGGTTATTTTAAGGGCCACCTAAATTTTAACTACCTTGCCAACAAATACATTTTCACTACCATTTCCGGAAACGATTTGTCGACTATAAGACTATGTTAACTTAAGGCGGCCACTATTAAACAAGTCAGTCATTCATTGGCAGTCGTTACGAGTGGAGTTGTTCGTCGCAAGGCTGAAAACCCTGGTGATCGACAACCCTATGTCGACTCTCGACTCTAAGCATTCAACCAAGAATTACCGATCCTCTCTAAGGTCTGCGCTGGGCAAACCTAACAGCTATAAAGGAAAAAAAAACTTGAGCCAACGGGACAGTCTCC